CCGTGGTGCCACAGTCTGAAAGGCCCGATCACCACGAGTTTTAAAACGAGTGCGCGGTACCACCAGCAGTCTCTGATCTAATGACCTTAAAGCCCGAGAAGATGTATGTGGTTTCAGCAGGTCAGATAAATATTGAGGAGCCTGACCATGTAGGGCCCTAAAGGTTAGAGCTAAAATTTTAAAATGAAACCTAAAACTTACAGGCAACCAGTGAAGGGAGGCTAAAACTGGAGTGATATGCGATCTTCTCTTGGTGCCTGTTAAGAGATGTGCTGCAGCGTTCTGCACAGTCTGAAGACGATTTAAGGCTGATTTGTTAAAACAAGTAAAAAGGCCATTAGAGTAGTCTAAACGAGAAGAAATAAAAGCATGAATAATCATCTGAAGTTCAAGCTTTGATACCGTTAGTCTGAGTTTAGAAATATTCCGTAAATGATAAAAACAGTTTCGGACCAGCTGCTTAGAGTGCTGCTCGAGCAACACCGAGGTTTCTAAGGCTCGATTTTACATAGGGGTCTAAGAAGCTGATATGCTGCCTGATTTCTGGGACCATGTGGTCTGGAGCAATAATTAGAGTTTCTGTTTTATCAGAGTTTAGTTGGAGAAAATTGTCATTTAACCATTGGTTACGTAGCATCTTTCTACGTAGCACTCTTAATTCTTATTCTCATGTATATATCTCATGTATATCTCATGCACATATCTTTCTTTCTACATAGCACTTTAATTCTTATTGTTTGCACTGAAGCACCGCAGCAAATTCCTAATGTTGTAAACCTCAACATCTGGCAATAAACCCATTCTGATTCTGATTCTGATTCTGGTTGATTTCTGTCAGGCAATTACTTAAATTAGACAATTTATAAAACTCAGACATTTTGAAGGAACAGTATAGTTGGATGTCATCAGCATAGCGATGATAGGAGATATATTTATAGTGCTTAATAATTTGGCCTAGGGGAAATACATAAAGTAGAAATAGAATTGGACCCAGGACAGATCCCTGAGGTACCCCACACGGCAAAACTGTTGATTCTGATGTGACATGATTCATGCAAACAGTAAAAGATCTCTCAGACAGATATGATATAAACCATTTTAAAACAACACCAGTAATCCCAAACAAGTTCTCGAGTCTGTTTATCATGATACTGTGATCTACAGTGTCAAAAGCAGAGCTGAGATCCAACAGGACCAGCACGGTGTTCTCCAGAGTCTGCTGGCATCAAGATATCACTAGATACTCTAAGTAAGGCCGTTTCAGTGGAATGCAATTTACGAAAACCAGACTGGAAAGTATCCATAACAGCATTTTTATCCAGGAGATAGTTAAGTTGTTCTACTACTACTTTTTCTAAAATTTTCGATATAAAAGACAATTTGGATATTTTCCTATAACTGTTAGGAAGAGATGGATCCAGCTGGGGTTTCTTTAATATTGGCTCGACGATAGCTTGTTTTTATAGAAGCTGGGAACTGAGCCAGTATGAAGAGAAGTATTTATCATTTCCACAATACAGGGGCCAATGGAATCAAACACACTAGTGAAAAGTGAAGATGGAAGGACATCAAGGGGGCTTGAAGTCTGTTTTATATGACAAAGCAGGCCTCTGATGTCTTGTAATGTAACAGGAGAAAAAGAGGACCAAGTATCAGAGGAGAGCAAGTTGAAAGTCTGATATTGAGAAGATGATGGACAGATATTAGACCTGATGGCAATGACCTTATTTCTGAAATAGTTCATAAACTCATTGCATTCGGACGTTGAGTGAACTGGTGCACAAGGAGCATCAGGAGAAACAATGCTCTTAATTGTTTTAAACAAGAATTTGGGGTATTTCTTTTTTGAAGCTATGAAGTGTGAAAAATACTCTGTTCTAGCATTTTTCCACATGTCATTTAGTAAGACGATAGATTCTTTAAGGTGTAACTTATAAACCTCAAGCTTGGAAGCCTTCCACAAACGTTCCAGCTTGCGACAGTATCTCCTGAAATTACGAATGTTTTCATTTAGCCAAGGATGAGATTTCAAACGTAGGACAGTACTTTTTTTCAGAGGTGCCACTATGTCTAAAATAGAATTACACTGGTTATTAAAGGATGAGACAAGAGAGTCCAAATCATTGTAAGTCATTTCAGCGTCAAACATGACAGAGAACCTTTTGCCGGCGTTCAGGTTTATGATTCGCCTTTCAATCGTTATTTTGGGTTAAAGTTAAGTTAAAATATATGCAGCTATGGTCACTCACATGGACATCTTCCACACGAATGTCATTTATATTTAAACCCAAGGAGAAAACAAGGTCCAATGTGTGACCCTTTACATGTGTAGGGCCAGAAACATGCTGCATAAAATTAAAAGACTCTGTGATAGTCATGAAGTCAGCAGCCATATTACAGGATGTATCATCAATATGAAGGTTAAAATCTCCCAACATTACCACCTTCTCTAATTTAATAATGGATGACAGGAGGTCATTAAATTCAGTTAAAAAGACTCCGGCAGGGCCAGGAGGTCAGTAGATTAAAATACAATAAAAGGTGAGCAAAGAGCCGACCTTGATCATCTGCAGTTCAGATGAGGTAAAGGAATCCGAGTTCATCAGTCTGCATGTGAATCTGTCCTGGTGCACAACAGCGAGACCTCCGCCACGTCCCGAAAGACGTGGAGTTCTGATGACGGAGCAGCCAGTCGAACAAATTTCCTTCAGATGTATATAATCCACGTTTTGTTGCCACGTCTCAGTTAAACACATGACGTTGAGAGATTTCTTTATAAAAAGATCGTTTAAAATAAACGATTTGTTTGTGATTGAGCGAGTGTTGAGCAGGGCAAACCTGATTGATGACGTTTGGTTGGTGCACTCAACAGCTGACTGCAGTGGCACTTGAATTAAACACCTGTGTGCACCTGTTACACCAGGCGGTGACTTCAGGGCTAGCTGAAGCTAATATCCTTAGTGGTACGTCACATCTGCCATCAAAACTGCGGTCGAACGAGGGACGCAAGGTGAACATGGGGCCATCGGACCATAGATTCCGGGCTGGGAACTGAAGTGTAGCATTGGCACCAGGAGACAGTAGATGAATTGGTCGTAGGCACCGGGAATCTTCCCACATCCAAGAAGCTAATCTTCGGTACCTTCTCAGTCATATCATTAAACTATAATGAAGGTAATGGGAAAGAATTGTTGAAGTGGATGATCAGTGAGCAGCATTATTGTTTCATGCCAAGAAAGAGCAAAAGAGATGTGATACACTGACTATTTGTTCTTCAGTCACTTTTCTCACTCATTGTGTGTCCATGCACCTCTCTGCATTGAATCATACTTGTGATTAATCTCTGGCTCGCTCCACAGCATGTCTTTTATCTTGTCTTCCTTCTCTAACCAGTGGCGGCAGATGGCCGTTCCTCCCTGAATTGAAATTGAAAATTAAATATTTTCATTGAGAGTGTTGATGGAGAAGTATAGAGGCCAGAAGGACCTGCACTGTGCCTTTGTGGATCTAAAAACACATATGATAAGGTACCAGGAAAGGGACTGTGGTATGTATGAGGAAGTTAATAGTGACAGAGAAGTATGTGAGGGTGGAGCAGGATGTGTATGAGAACAACGCGGCAATGGTGAGGTTTAGGAATGACAGATGGGTTCAAGGTGGGGTAGGATTACATCAGAGATATGTTTTGAGCCCCATCATGTTTACAATGGTGATACGTTGACAGATGAGGTCAGGAAGAAGTCTCCAAGGACTGTGTTTGCAAATGCCCTAGTCTGGGACCAACTCTGTTCATTGGCTCCTTCACTACATCCATCACTTTTCTATGTGGTCTTCCATTTTCCTCCTGCCTGGGAGATTGACATTAAGCTCCACAGTTACCATCCTTGTCCAGAATAAACCCAATCCCTCCTCTGCACATGTCCAGTCCATCTCAGCCCTGCCTCTTCAACTTTGTCTCCAAACTGTTTAACCTGAGCTGTCCCTCTGATGTCCTCATTTCTAATCCTGTACATTCTGTTCCTCCCAATGAGAATATTAACATCTTCAGCCCTATCACCTCTAGCTTGTCCTACAGTCTATTATCAGAAACTAAAAGCCATGCCCTTAAGACACAATAACCACACAGAGAATGTCAGAGATGCATCTGACCCTTGAGTTGATTAATCTACTGGTTTGTGATGCCTCATCAGAAGTGGAAGGAAACTATTAGAAAGGCTGAGGTAAAACAAAGTAAACAAAAACTGAACTGAAAATCTGTGAATCAGAAAATCTCTGATTCCAGTCATCAGTATGTCAGGGGTCAGGAGCGAGGTACAACAGTGAGTATCTGCAAACAATTTGTGAAACATGATAGAGAATCATCATGTTTCAGAGCTTTATTTCAGCCAGTGGTGTTGGAGATCTTGTGGGATCATTTTGACGATGAATTGAACAAATGGCAGCAAAACAATCAGTTTTTGCATTATATAACATGTTCTATTTGTGTTTGTACATTTCATTACTTCAAAATACAAAAATGAGGCTGGATCTGTACTCTTGCACAGTACTGTATGTGTTTTCATGTCTCTCAGTAGTTTACAGAGGTGGAAAAAGTACAGACATACTGCACTTAAGTAGAAGTAAGAATACCATTGTTAAAAAATAGTCCAATAAAAGTTGAAGTACTGATTCAAATTGTGATTCCTGGCTAAAGTAAAAATAAAAAAGTAAAGGCTTCATAAATGTGCTCAGAATAAGAAAGCAAAAAGTAGGTCGTTGGAGGACTTTTCTATTTTTGTGCAAAGCTAACTGAACCTCGTACTATATTGACATTGTGGAAGTAAACACAGACGACACGAGAGCTCTCGATTAACACTCCTCGTTTATTACTCGTCACCACACAACTGAATACCTTTCCCTCCAAAACATAGCAACAACACTTCCTGAGAACTGGGTGTGAGTGGAGCCCTCCAGTGGTCAACCACACATGCCCCCCCCCGAACACCCAGTAGGGTCATCCCCTAGTCCAGAACCCTTGCTTTAATCAAGCGTCCAGAACGGCTGAACCGGGGAGGTGGAGAGCTGGCTGAGGAGAAACGAGCCTGAGGACCAGGTTGGCATGGGCGGTCAGGAAAACCTGAAGATAGCTCGGGCCCCGCCAGGTGGGGGGCGCTCCCAGAGGAAGAAGCAGAGTTGTCCAGTCCAGTGGAAGGCGGACGGCCACAGCAGGGGGCCTGAGCCGGCACCACCTGATCATCCAGAAGCACATGTGCTGGTTTAAGTCTGTCAATAGAAACAGCCTCCTGCTGACTCCCAAAGTCCAAAAGGAAATGCTTCCGGCCGGTTGAATAACCCTAAAGGGGCCGTCATACAGTGGACGCAGCGGAGGCCTATGAGCGTCATGCCTGACGAAAACAAACTGCAGAGTCCAACGACCTCGGAACAAAGGTGTCGGGCAGAAAATGGTGCACTGGGCCAGGAACAGAAAACGAGTCTCTTGGGGGACGGAGAGACAGCACAGAGGGAGCGAAGCACGGGGGGTGCACTCTCGGGCAAGAATTCCTCGGGGACCCGGGGAGGCTGACCGAGGACAAGTTCAGCCAGGAAACCCCGAGGTCTTCTTTAACCGCGCAGCGCAACCCCAGTAAAACCCATGGAAGGCGGTCAACCCAGTTGGCATCTGTGAGAGAATCACGGAACACAGCCTTAAGCGAACGGTGGAAACGCTCGCACATCCCGTTGGCCTGCGGGTGGTACGCAGTGGTTGGGTGGACCTTGACCCCTAGGCCGTCAGTTTCATCAGCTTTTTCTCCAATCAATATTATGTCTATTCATAGTCTTGTCTCCTCTTTACTGAGAAATCTGTTTATTTTCTCTCATGTTCTTCCCTGAGTTACTCTTTTTGAGTTCCTCAAGAAAATGAAAACACGCGTTTCCTGGGACTTTACATTTCTGTTCCTCGTGCTCTGGATTTCTCTTTTGCACTTTGTTTGGTTTTGGATCTACATCAGCAGTAAAATATTGCTTTTCATCAAGTCCTTTCCTTCTGAGAGGCCTGCATTTACATCTTTGCCAAACCCTGGCATCTAAAACATTCCTTTTATATTTCTGGTTTCAAGGGTGTGAGAGACAGAAAAAATTCCCCTTAAAAAGGCACATTTGGAATGCATCCAATTAAACTAGACATGGAAGATAGAGAGAATTTTGTTTTGATCTTATCAGATCCTAAAAATTCATACATCCTGTTCTCTGTTGGAACTGACAGGACTACATTTCCTTGTCATTATTTTGCATATCTAATTCATGTAAAAAAGAAAATGCAACCGGAACATCTTACAGAACCTGATAGAGATCTCAGAAATCTCTGGAAACTTTGGTTTCCTTGTTTACAGAAACGTGTTCAAGTGTGAAAACCTTGTTGTTTGGTTTAAAAGGTGTCTTACTTCCTTCTTGTGTGAAGGAAGTAAATACTTTTTATATAACAGATCTCAGATTTGTCTCCTTTAAAATATATTAAGCTCAAGATTGACAAATGTGATCAATCAACGAACCTCAACTGACCTATTCAGGTCCAACACTAAAATACAGAACAAAATCGCATTTCTTCAAATTAAAATAAGCCCTCAAAAAGTGAAAACTTTGCACTGACATCATTATACTGCTAGTGCCAGCTGTTTGGTCAAGTAAGACTAGGTTTTGAATTCTTTCACACATGTACTTAAGTAACCAAAATCCAGCTCTGCTTTTTTACATTAAGCTTATTTACTGACTTTAGAATAGCTGACCTATTTTAACATTAATGTTAATTTTTGCACATCAGGTTATCTCACATATCAAACCAGCATATTAAGCTCATAACTCTTTTGCAATTGAATCTATTTAACACTTCAATTTCTTTTCTTTTTTTTTGTTTCCACTTATTTATTAATCCTATTTGTATTTTATCCATTTGTACATATTAACGGGCATCTGCATGTGGACAGCAGGGAAAGAATTTCATTAGAGAAAAGCTTTTTCTTTGCACACATGACAATAAACGCTTTGAATCTTGAATCTTATTTCTAAACTTTTGTGTGAATGAGGAAAACGGTCCCTATTCAGTTCAGTTGAATTCATTTTTATTTATACAGTGCCAAATCAACAGCAGTTACCTCAAGGAGCTTTATATTTTAAGGTAGAGACTCTACAATACAAAGAAGACTGAGAAGACAGAAAAAAAACTCAACAAACATATGACCCCAATGAACAACCACTTTGGCAACAGTGGGAATGAAGGGAAGCCAGTATAATCACTCTTCCTGAAGACTTTTCAGTGAATTTTTAGGACATCCTGATAATAAAGAATTACAGTGGTCCAGTCTAGAAATAATAAATACATGAACTAGTTTTTCAGTGTCATCTGAGCCAGGATGTTTCTAAAATTAAAAACGATGTAAGGAAATTATTTCTCAGGAGAGAAATTTTAAATGATTAAGATTCAAACACTAAATGACCAAACCATTAAATTATAAATGTCACCTCTCTTTTATTTACATAGAATATTGAGTCATTTTGTCAGTTCAAAATAGATCAACTAAATACTGAATAATAGAAAAACCTAATTCTGAACTACACTTTGAGAAATCCACATTTGACTTTTACAGTCAGTAATATCTTCTCTTTGAGTTCATTAGTTTTTTCTCCTTTTTATTAACACAGTGGTATTGTCTTTTTGGCATTTAAAAATATGTACATAGCCCAATGAATAATTTAAATTAAAATCTAAATAACTAAACATCCCAAATATATAAATGTAGTAAAATAAAGAATTTTTGAGGAAAAACTCACTCATAAGTTGCACCTTATCTCTCATGGAAAATGAAATGTTGATTTTGAGCTGTTCAATTCAACATTGTTTAACTAACAGAGCTCCAGTTAAAGGAACTAAATGAATAGAATTTGCATGTATTTGTACATGTATATATTTTGAAAAATGTGTTTGTCCATGTTGTAATGTGAAAAATAGAAAAATAGAAAAAAATATTAAGAGAAAAAGATATCAATTTTATCAATTTTATTATTGACATAATCATGATGATGTTGTCCAAAACCTAACCCTTAACCCTATATTTTCAAAACATTTATAAATGGTTAATTGTATAACTTAATGAAAAGTCAACATTAAATATATGCACTATATTTCTAATGAAGTTTACAGTGATAATGAATACACACAATTCACATTTAATGCATAATACATTAATTAATGAATTTACATAGTGCAAAGTTTTAAATACACAATAAACTGTCATGATCACACATCCACTACAAATTGGACCAGATCCACCTAAGACAAAATATACTTTAGAAGCAGAGCTCATATTGTGATTATTATTTATTTTAAAATGCTTTTGTCTGTACCAAAACACCAAGAAGCAAAACAACATCATCAAAATATTTTTTTTACATTTTTTTCATACATCCAAGTTTATTGATGCTACACAGCAATATACATCGTAGGTCTGTGTCAGAGACTCCTAATCGATACATGCTGAGCCTAGATTCTTCATTACAATAGTTTAATCTCTGTGAAGAATGAGAAAAAATTTTTGAATACGCTTCAGTAGGGCCTCAAGGAACTCATACTGAACAGCCTTAAGTCCCATGATACCTGCAGCCTCCACCTCCTTGTACATGGCATCTGTGTAGTGCTTGCCCCCATTTGCTGCCACCATGTCATCAATCTTGTTGACCAGCTCCACCACCTGCGTTCTGTCTTTGCTGGTGTTTTCAAAGATGTGGAACCTGTTTCCACAGCTTTGGATGATGCGGCGAAGTCCTTCCTCAGCTTCACGTACGTACTCCTGTATGGTCATGCCTCCAAGATCACCACCGCGAGTGAACAGCACGATCATGTGCTGATTTGCAGCCTGGCCAAACAGCTCCTGCAGGGCTTCTACTGAGTTTTTCTCTTCTTTGGTGAATCGACCCACTTGGATGACCAACAGGAACACATGAGGACCGGGACAGGAGACTTCAACACAACGCACAATTTCTCTTTTGATGAACTCATTTGATTTTGCAGTGTCCAGGATCCCTGGTGTGTCTACAACACTAACTACCCTGTTACCCCACTGAGTCACACCTTTCTGACAGACCTCAGTCACTGACCGTGATAAAGGAGAAGATCTGAAATATCTGTCTCCCAGAATGGTGTTTCCAACAGCACTCTTACCCACACCGGTCTTTCCAAGCATCACAATCCTCAAATCAGGACCTGAAACACAAATTACAACCTTGATTTAACCTGTATACACAACAAAAAACAATCATACAGACAGAAGATTAACTTTGAGTCTTACCTGCTGGAAATTTAGCCATCTTAATGTCACTGTTTTCACTGCACGTGTGAGCGAGAAGAATGTTAAAGCTTCTTTTCAACACATGGTTTATTTATAGCTCCACAGCTGACACACCTCCAGCATTTGCATAACAGGTACATATAATAAAGAGAGAGTGCAGCACAGCCTGCAGAAGACACCGTGCAGAGTTTTGACACACCAGACTAATGAAATATGTCTGAAGGTAAGTTTATTTGAAAAGGTTTCTTTGCTTTATAGCTGTTTTTTTTAACAGTTTTAATGATTGAATTTTGTAGCAGTAGAGAGAAAATGTTGCTCTTAAACAGTGTCAGAGAAAAAGGATTTTGTGTTTGTTCACAGACAAAATTTCAGTCGTCATCCTGGGAAATGGGAAGTTTTTGAAGAAAGTGTTAATAGCCAACATCCTGGAAGATGACATATCTGTGCTATCCACAAGAAAGATTCTAACAAAAACCACGATATATGAAAACGAGACATATGTTTTCACATGCATGCCAGATTTGGACGTGCAATGTGATGACATAAAACAACAATTTGCTATGAATCCAGACCCTGACATGTGTTTGTTGGTGGTAAGATGTGACTTTTCAGTAGAAAATGTGTGGAATCAGATAGAATATCTGAGCAAGAAAAGTGGAACACCTACAGATACATTCACAGTTGTGCTGCCTTTGAGTTCTAAACCTACAGAGTACCCATTCAAGAATATGACCATGGAGCAGCTTTGCAGAGAACTGCCTTACAAACAGCGGGGGTTAAGTCATAAGAGGTAAACCTAAAAAATCAGTAACATATAATGAATATTTATGATATCACATAAGTTTGCATAAGAAGAACAGTGTTTTATTTAATCTGAATAATCATATTAAGTCATTAGTTATTAGGTTTATTATTATTATATATATATATTGTAATGTTTCAAACATAATAGATCTTTTGCCCAAAAAACAAAGTTTCCTGGTGAGTTAATTTAGTTCTGTTATATTACAGGTCTGCTGCAGATCCCCAATCTATGACAGCTTTGGGAGACCTCAGCTTAAATTCATGTTTAAGAAGCAAACATGAATGGATGGAAGGCAAGACTCAGCTTTATCAGCAGTATCTCACAATATTGTCGTGTTCTGTGTGTGGATGTGTATGTCAAAAACATTTCTTTAGCCTTTTTATAAAAGTGGCAGATGTAACAAAGAGCCCTACACTATCCCCGTACATAGTTTCAAATGTGGGACATTTTTTGAAATTTTTATCTCTATTATTAACATTTTTTTTTTACTTTTTATCTAATCAGGAAGTTAAAATATTGAGATAAAGAGTCTCTTGTGCAGGAATAGCATGGTGTAATTATGCGAACTGCATGCAGATATAATTATGTGTATACTTAAATGCGTATTTAACTGTTCAGATAAAAGTCTTGTAAGTGTTTTAGCTGTAGATGATTATTCTTCAGATCTGGAAAGAATATTTATTTCTATTTCACTGTCACTTATTTTTGTTCTTCATTGACACAGAAAATCACTTTGATACCAAAGTGAACCTAGTTCTTCTGGGAATGACCGGTACGGGAAAGAGTGCCAGTGGAAACACCATCCTCGGAAAGAAATTCTTCAAGTGTAAGCCGAGTACAAAGCCGGTCACCACAGAGTGCCAAAGGGCAGAATCAAAGATAAATGGCATACATGTACGTGTCATTGATAACCCAGACATCTTTGATGATGACATCAACCCACGAGTTTGGGACACACATGTAAAAAAGTGCAAACAGCTTTGTGAGTCAGAACCATGTGTGTATTTACTTGTGATGCAAGCAAGCAGATTTACAGATGGTGAGAGAAACATAATAGAAAAGCTAGAAAAAGCTTTTGCAAGCAAAGTTAGAAAACAAACAATCATCCTGTTCACCAGAGGAGACGACCTGCACTGTGCAAACATTAAGCTGGAGGATTTTCTTCACTCCTGCCAACCTGGTCTGAAAGAAATAATTCAGAAGTGTGACAACAGGTGTGTTGTTTTTGAGAACAGCAGGCCAACATCACATCAAGTGGCAATTTTAATGGAGAAAGTGATCAGGATGATCCAAGAACAGCAGCAATGATAACACTATGAAGTGCTTGGATATGATAAGTTGTTAAACAGAAAGATATAAACAGAGCATGAAATACTAGCCTGAACTGTTCAGTTAGAAATGTTTTCTTTTGTTTCCCTTTTTATTTGCCTTCGTCAAAATCAGCCTTTAATCAGCGACTGATTATGAATTCGGTTGTTATTGAAACTGGTGCATGGAGTTTGTCTCTTATTGTGTTTCTGTTTATAGCCTGTTGATGTAAATCATTCATGTTAAATTCACCAATAAAATGAAGTTTGGTAAATATTCATTGTTGACCAAAGGTTTTTCAAGTAACAGAGACCCTTTGATGATTCAAACATACCTTTGAAAAAACCTATATCTAACAATAATAGCACTAGTAATAAGAATACATACAGTAATCATAGCAAAAAAAAATGAGCATTTGATGTTTGTGGATCGAACACTTGCAAAGACTCAGTGAAAATTTTAATAATTAAAATATGCAGATGTTAAACAAATATGTAGGACTTCTTTCTACTATTTGCAAAATATCTCTAAAATATGAGATATCCTGACTCAGAGTGACACCCAAAATCTAGTTCATGCACTTCTTGCTTCTAGGCTGGACGACCGTAATTCATTATTATCAGCATGCTCTAAAAACTTCCTAAAAGCCTTCAGTTTCTCCAAAATGCTGCAGCAAGAGTACTGGCAGAGACTAGAAATGTTAGGATTTTGAGTTTATTATATTATTTATAATTTCTAGTCTTTGGTTTCTTTGAGTTCTGTCTTATGGTTTTTGTCTCTGTCTTCTCTAGTTGCTCTGTCTCCCCTGTCAGCTGTATCCCCTTGTCTAGTTCGCGTCTCTGTGTATCCTCAGTTGCTATATCCCCGTGTCCAGTCAGTGTCTGTGTCTGCACTGGTCCCACGTCTCTGTTCCCTCTGTTACAGTGCATGCGAGTCTGTGTCTTTAGTTCAGTCTGTGTCATGTTTCCTGTTTTATTTTGAAAGTCCATGTCTGATGTTAATGTATCTGGTTTCGCTTCCCCTTGTCTCGTTAGGCCTGATTTGCCCCAGCTGTGTTTCCCTCCTGTTACTCATTCCCTGATTGCTCCCTCTGTGTATTAAAGCCCTGTGTTTCTCTGTGTCTGGGTTGCGATCTACCGTTTACCTAGCTGTGTGTTCTGTCAGTCCTCCGGTTTAAGTTTATTTAGATTTTTTCCAGTTATGTTATATTTTGAGTTTTACATTAAAGCTGTTTTGAGTAGTGATGGGCAGATGAAGCCCCATGAAGCACTGAAGCTTTTCATCCAATTGGTTCACCCCAACGCGAAGCTTCATGAAGCTTCATTTGCTCTAGCAGGACACCTACTGGACGTAAAAATAATAGCTGGCATGAATTTGAAGAGTGTGGCATTTTGCACACAGCCTGTAAATGTCAACAACAAAAGGAGTGTGTAAAACATGTATATTGTAGTGATGGCAGTATACTGTGTATATTTATAGTGGCAGTATGGGAAATGATTATTTGGAAATGCTTGAAATGGAAATGATCATTTACTGTGAGGTGAGGTGTGGTTGGGGTGTGGACAGTGGTTGTGCTTTTGTAACGTTGAGGTATGGACAGCTACACACTGAGGCTTTGAGCCTCAGTCCTGCCTGTTCACATTTTATTCTGTAAAAACTAAATTTTCACTGCTTTTATGGCCTTTTTAGTGGGGAGAACATAGCTAGGATTTAATGATTTAACAAATCTTTTGAATCCTTTGTCCTCCACAATGCTAAATGGCTGGGAGTCCTCAATCACCATGCTGACCAGGTCTTCATCTATTTGAGATTGTTCTCCTGAGGAAAGGCAATAAAGATAAAGCACAGATATAAATAGCACACACGTAACTTATAACAGTTGTATAATATTGTTATATCATTTAGTAACATTACTGCATGCTATATTATCATTGCATTTGATGGCTCACCTGGTCTTGCTCCACAATCGGTGTCCCCCTTATTCTCATGCAAAGCTCTGTAGTGCCTAAGCATGGATGAGGTGTTGTTGTTATATCCCAGCTCCCTGGCACATAACAAACACTTCACCTTGTACAAAAGTCAAGACAGCTCAACATAAATTGTATTGCACCATCAGTATCATGAAAATACATCTTCTGTAGAAATACCTTGTTGGGAGGAATAAGATCAAAATGTTCCCACACAGGGGAGGACATCCTCCTCTTCTTAGCTGGCTCCATTCTCTCCTGACTTTCTCTCCTCACTCTCATAAACCTCCAAACTGTCTCCAAACTCTCACTAACCGCAACTCTCCATCAAACACCCACATTTTTGAATGAAGTCTGAGGGGTTTATATCGCTGTCATATCTCGCGGCAAAGTTCGAACCACTTCATGAACCAGTCACGTGGTACAGCCGGGCAGCGAGGCTTCGGATGTCATCATTTTCAGCTCCTCCCATAAATGAAGCAAGCCTCGATACGCGCATCACGGAAACGCCCCCTCCATTACTCGACACACGCTCTGAAGCCTCGATACAGAACGTCACATCACTAGTTTTGAGTTCACGACTGTCTCCTGAGTCTGCACCTTGGGTCCTATTCCTGTCTGCACACAGCCACTCATAACAAGAAAGAGAGAGCATGTTTCTCCTATTGGCTTCCCTTCATTGGCTCCCTGTTAAAACCAGCATATCCAGCTAGCATGGGCTAAAATAAAAATCAGCTGGAAAACCATCCGGACCTGGGGCTTTATTGTCTGGGTGATGCTGTATGGCTTCATGGAAGTCAGACATTGACACAGGTGGATCCAGAGCTACAATCTGTTCATCATTTAAATTCTGTAGATTTATATTGCTAAGAAATTCTTCAAAAGCAATGATGGAGGGAATAATCTGTGATGCTGTGAAGCTTCATAAAACTCATAAAA